CACACACACACACACACACACACACACACACACACACACACACACATTAACAACATGTGTACAGCACCAGGGGAAATCCCCTGTAGCTGGGGACTGTGTGCTGTGGCCCTTCGCATTGGAGCATCCGCTGAGGGAAGAGTGTGTGGGGGGTTGGCCTAAATGTCAAAGGTAAAAGGTGCTGAAGAATAGAAGTGGAAACATGCAATAGACCCACTCACGCTGGCTGATCTCACAGTAGAGGAGGGGGAACCCCAGTCTTTCTTCCAAACGCAACACAGACAAAAAATATCACATCTAATGTTTCCTTCCACAGGATTGATGCTGTTTCACGCACGGTAAAAAGCGGTGTGGAAGACGCGCAAGTGTGAACAATCTAGCATTTCTAACTTGTATTTATTTATTTGTAGCACATGTTCATTTTAGTTTAAATGTCTGGCTGGCAAAAAAAAAGAAAAGAAAAAAGAAAGGGCCGTGACACATTTTTGAAATGTCATACATTTTCACTTTCACGGTGTATTTTAAAAAACAGTATGACCACATATCAGGGCTGAGGCCAGCAGCTTGGAAATGACTAAGCTGTGAAGTCCAAACGCCCGAATAAAACCCCAACCAGCTTAGAAATGTTAAGTAGCCACAAAAAGTTGATATCTGTGTTAATTTAACTGGCCAGTTTCGCTGTTATGTCATCGTTTATCTTTAACAAAGAACATCAAATATATTGTTTTAAATCTAATAACAATATTCAGATAAATAAGGCTTTTTGGAGGGCAGGGTGAAACTAGTGGCTACTGCATCCTAAATTTTTTAATGTAAGAAATTGAGTGTGCAAATCTTTTAATTTTTTTTAGATGAAGAACAGATGGTAAACAGTCATTTTCCTGAAGCAATAAAATGTGACCGATGGGGGAAATAAACACTACCGTCAGCGAGAGTATTATTTTAGAAACATGTCACTGATTCGCTATCAGAACAGGGATCACGGGGTAGTGATGAGGAACATTATGTTCTGCGGCTGCTGATTGTGGTCGGAAACTATTCGCGGACGTACTGGGAGCTGTTTATAAACAACACCTCTGTCCGAAGAGGCAGCGAATTGTTGTCTGAACGTTTAAGTTTTTCTTCACAATATGGAGGCTCGCAGTAGTCATTAGCGAGTGTAAATGACTTTGTCGAGTTGTCTTTTTACTGGTAAGTGTCGATGTGCGCCCTGTAAGTTTATGTTTTCAGCAGCGGGCTGATAGCTCCCTGTATCCGGGTGAAGTTACTGAATTAGCTAGTAACTCCGTCTGGGAAGTTTTCTGCCGTTCACAAAGCTCTTGACGTCCTCAGCAGTTAGCTAGTGACACTAATGGATTAATTTAGCGTTACCTGCTGGGCCAGTCTGCTGTCATTAGCCAAACTGAGTGATTTCACTTTCTGTTCAGGGACAGTTCGTGCGACGTGGCCTCGAAATGTGGACTGAAGGGAACAGTAGAAGGCGTCATCAAACCGTTTACGTCACTCCGAAGTTAATTGCCATTAACGCTGGAACAAACGAAACAACAAGTAAAATAACCTGGTGTTTTTGTTCTTGTTGTTGTTTTTGTTTGTTTGTTTGTTTTGGTATGAACTGCTAATAAGAGTTATATTGCTGTGCAAAAGTTTTGAGCCACTTGTATGTGGGCCTCTGGGGAGAAAATCCAGGACTGACTGTTCCATTGTGCTTTTTCTATTCAGGTATGCTTTTGGAGAATCTGACATTGTATTTGGGATTAATGTCATTGCTGAAAAATTAATTACCAATGGCTTTTTTAGGTTTCTTTTTTTTTTTAAAGATATCCCAAGCCCCAAACCATGACAGAGCCTCCAGTGTGTTTTACAGATGAATGTACACACTCATGATTGTCTCCCTTGAAATTTGTATTCATGAGTCCATAACACCTGTTGCGCGCATATATATATATATATATA